AGGGCTCGGCGCGCCGGGGCGCGGGCCACCGCTCCTCCCGGCCCCTGTGCGCAGCCTCCGGCTCCAACTTTACTTTCCCGGGCAGGGCGCCGGCGCCGCCTCCGCCGCGCGTCCTCCTCCAGCTCCTCCTTCTGCTGCTCCAGGCGCCGGCGCCTCCCGCGGTCGGTGCCCTGCCGTGCGGGCGTCGCCTCGCCCTCCGGAGCTGCGCCGCCGCCGCCGCCGCCGCTGCCTCCTTCGCCGCCGCCGTGCGCTCGGCGCGAGTGCAGCCGCCGGGGCTCGGCTTCCAACTTGGGTAGAGTTGCGCAGCGGGGCGGGGCGGGGCGTGGGCGGGCGGGGCGGCCTGGCCCGCAGGCCAGCGCCGCCAGCCCGGGAAGTGCGGGCCCAGAGCCGGAGCCCGCGGCCGCCTCGGCGAACCTGCCCGCGCAGCGCCAGGGAGGGATCCGGGCTTTGGCGCGGGGCGCGTGCGCTCCGCGAGGGCGCCCTCTCCAGGGCCGGCTGCGGTCTGCGGGACGGCGCTGCCTGCTGGCTGGCCGGCGCGGTGAGTTCCCCAAGCCTGCTCTTTCTAAGACGGCAGCCTCCTCACCTTCCTGGGGCGCAAGCACACGCGCGCGCGCACGCTCGCGCAGCACCGGCCGGCTGGGGGTCCGCGGCCTGAGTGGAGAGTCAGCCTCTCGCTGGCTGGGCGCGCACCGGTCCTCCGAGCGCGGGGTCCGGCCCCGAGCCACCTCCACACCCGCGGCCTCAGTTCCCTCCCCTGCCGGCTTGCCTGAATCATGACAGCGGTGGCTGTGGAAGACCTGGGCAGGCTCCCAAGCTCTGCACCCTTGTTGGCAATTATTGAAGTTTAATTGTTATGCTACGTGTCCCTGCTTTTAAAAGGATAGGGGGGGGGGGATGTTCAAAATCACTGCCTCTGATCAACACTCTAAAGTAAATTGCCCGGATGTCGGGCGGTTTTGCTTGGGTGCCTCATTCCTGCCGGTTTAGGAGGGAGTTGTTGGGGGTAACCTGGCTTACCCCTGGCCCACATCCCTGTGCGTTCGTTCCACAGACGGGCACTGTCACACTCTGGCCCAAGTCGGGGGCTGGTCCCTGCTGCCAGGCAGCCTGAAGTCTGTGGGAGACAGACTCTGGGGGGAGGTTGGAGTTCCCAGGGCCTGTTTTTCTCACTTGGACCAACTGGAGGAACTTCCCCATCCCAGAACCGCACCCAGGCTGGTGGCAGCTCTCCCTGCATCCTCAGATGGGGTTGGGGGGGCTTAGGCTGCGTTCCTGTGGCTGGGGGGAGGGGTGGGGTGCTTCTGAGTAGTAGGGGGCACGGCAGGGAGTGATGGGAGCAACTCCCCAGCCCCCAGCGATGCCTGTAGGTGTGGGTTGAGGGCTGCTTCCTTTTTCTCTGAGCTCCCCAAGGGCCCAAAGGGCCTTCCTTACACAGGCGAGCTCAGTGGTCTTAGCAGAGATGCCCAGGAGGGAGCCCCACCATCTTTGTTACCCATGTGACACCCAGGAGGAGGGGGTCAAGCCAGGGCTGTGGCAGGAATCAGACATTGCAGGTGGTGGGCCTGCCCCAGAGGGGCCAAACCTCCCTAGCCAATCCTGGGCATTTATGCACTTTGGGAAGCAAAGCCATGAGGGCATGTAAGAGGCATGTGACCCAGGAAAGGTGGAGGGCCACCATCCTTGTGAAAGGTCCTTCTGGTTCTGGAGGCCTACCAGGTGCCTCTGATCAGGGCACCTGGAGTGCATTTTGCAGGGAAGACACACACATACCTGTGTCCTCCATCGTTGGCATGCACTGGCCCATGTCTGTATCACGCCCTCTGTCTTGAGGTGCTCACCACCTGGGACGGACTGTGCCACACACTGAGAATGCTATCAATGCCTGGGAGTGGGGCTGGCCAGGAAGGCTTCCTGGAGGAGGTGACCTCTGAGCTTGGAGAATGAAGGGGAGTTCTGGGGAGGTGAGAGGCCCCTGTGGGCTGTGCTCCCTGGGGTGAGAGTGGACTTGGTCTTGGAGGTATGGAGAGCCAGAGGAGGTTCCAGAAGAGAGAAGTGGCGGCCGCTTGATGTAGGTTTTGGAGACACATTCCCTTCCCCTAGCACCCAGCCAGCCTTGGAAGGCTCTTCCAGACCATGAGGGGTTTTCATCTTGTGAGGAGCACTTTGGGGGGATGCATGGGGACACCCAGGGTCCTGGTTCCACTTGACACCACACATGTTCACAAAGCGAGGATGGTATAGCATGGGGAATTTGGAAGGAAAAGAATACAGAGCAGCTGGGGGCCCAAAGCAGACAGGGCTTCCCACTGCCCAGGAAGTAGCTCTCACAGCCGGCCCAGGCTGGGGACATCTGGAATGCCTGGCCAGCCAAGTGACCCAGGCCCCTGGGGATGCCTGGCTGGCCTTTTGACCTCAGTCTGCAGACTGCACCGCTGGCAACCTCTCCCTGGCATGACCTGGGAGGAGCAGGAAGAATTGCCTTGCCCATGGGTCCAGGGCCCAGACCCCAGGGGTGGAGGAGAGCTGGGTCCCTGAGGGGTCCTTGGGGTAGAATGGTGCTTGGTTGGGCTCTGGGACCAGAGGCTCAGGACCACAGCTGCTGGAAAGGGAGCTGGGGCAGCCTCTTACCCCAGATATTGACAATCAGGGTTGGCAAATAGCTCCGGGTTAGCCTGTAACAGGCAAAACAGCATGGGCCAAGGAAGACTGTCCCTAGGAGTCACTGAAGGCCAGGCCTGGGCTTGGCAGGACCCGGAGGGATGAGGGGAAGGGCACTGTGAGGAGTCGGGCTGCATGGGGAGGTGGGGTGGGGACAGGGAGTGGGGCATCTCAGAAGGGAAACCACATAGAAGGGTAGCATTCCCGGGCTGCCAAGGCATACTTGCCCTTCAGCCCACCATAACCAGGGGGTTGGTCCAGCCAGGGCCACACCCCAGGAATATTGGGTCCCGGGCCCCCACTGCTGTGAGAGGCATCTAGATGCAGGCCTGCTGGGGGCACACTTCCTGGGATGCAGTGCTCTGTGCTCTGAGGGGCCTCAGCTCAGGTGGAGGGCAGCTAGCTTGTCTCCTCGTACACACAGGTATACATGCGCACACATGCACACATACCCATGCACACCAATGCTTGCATACCCTTGTGCACCTGCACACACATACATACTGCGTGTATGCACATGTGCACGGTTCAGTGCATCACACAAATATTCCGGTGCGCACACAGCATGCATAGCCATGTCTCTGCACCCACAAGCAGGCGTGCACATTACCCACACACCATGCACCTCCACGTGCATGTCTTCATGCAGGCATATGCCCTCTGCACACATCCACAGGCATGCACACACATGCATCTGTGCTCACCCCCCGCAGATGCATGCACACACATGCACAGGTGCCTCCCTCACCTTCCAAGGCTGCAGGGAGTATTTTTGTCAGCCGTTGAGGGCAGCACTTCCCAGATATCAGGCTGGGTTCTGCCTCGTCCTCTGTGCCTGCTCACCTCCACTGGCCTCATTCAGATGGCTCTTTACCTCGCTTACTTCAGGCTGTGAGCCCATGTGGCCCCCGGGCCTTGGTACATGCTGCCTTCTAGGCTGGCAGCCTTTGCCCCGTCTATCCCTGTGACTCTCCTCATCCTTCCAAATGTGGTGCATGGCGTTCCTCCCCAGGAGGCCCCCTGACCTCCCAGGCTGGATTAGAGGTCCCTTGCTGCCCTGTGTGCCTCTCATGTGGGCCATCATCAGTGACCATGTCTCTTTTGGCTGTGGGCTCTTGAGAGCAGGCCATGTCTCTGTCTTATTGCCTGGTGCCAGGCCCAGCTCTCAGCTCACAGTAGGAGCTCAGTGAGTGTGGGAGGCGGGACGGGTGGTGCAAAGGGCAAGGTTGGGCGCCCTGCATGTTCCTGGTATCCAGCCTCCTCAGCCACGCTGGACGCTTGCCCTGTGCTGGGTGCGGGGGGAAGAGGGACCGGCAGAGTCCAGAGGAGCTGCGTCCCCACCTAGCAGGTCCCGTCAGCCTCTGTTCTATGGAGGCTCGAGTTGCTGGATGTGGAGTGAAGCCCTTGCTCACTCCCTTACTTGCGGTCAGGCAGCGGAGAGCCGCCTGCCTCCCCAAACCTCAGTTTCCCCATCTGTAGGATGGGGGTATTGGACTGGATAGTTCTAAGGCTCATGCTGGCTCTGCCCCCACTTGGCTGCTTGCTCCTGGAGGTGGGAGCCTGCTGTCCTGCCCTCGGTGGGCGCTGCAGGGGAGGGGCAGGGCCCCAGGCAGGGAGAAGAGCCCTTTTCGCTTAGCTGGCTGACGCGGCAACAGAGGGAGCCGGCTTAGCTTTCCAGCCTGCAGACCAAGAGGACTTCTTTTCTCCTTGTAGCTGAGCTGAGGACTTCCCCCCCCCCCACCATGTTTATTTGAAATTTCATTTTTACAGAAGAGGCAAGGAAAAGTGAGGCATGCTTCCCTCCCTGCCCCTCCCTGAAGAATTCCAGAACCACTTTGTCTTGTCAGAATGTGGCAAGGACCGGCTGGCCCTGAGCCTGGCTCTCCAGCATCAACCCGCAGACCGAATCCATTGCAATATTGATCACGTTGATGGATTTGGCACAGCTGAGTCCTTACAGAGCTGGCGGAAGGCCCTCTGGAGAGAGTTGCTTCAGGGACTGTCTTTGATTTGCAATGAGTGTAATAGATTAAAGCAGTGGGTCAGCATGTCTTATTGAGCACCAGCTGTGTACCTTGCAGAGCCCAAAGCCTGCCAGGGTTCAAGCTTGCCCCCCGCTGCCCTGGTTGCCTCTCAGCCTCCTCACGGCTGCCTTGTCTCCAGCCTGCCCCTCTGGCCGCTGGCTTCAGGCCTGACCAGGCCCACCCTCCAGGACCTTGCTGTTGCCCAGACGCCTGAGCCTGGCACTCAAGGCCCTCCTAGGCCTGGCCTCACCCCATAACCAACCCTTCATCCGTTCAATTGTTTATTCAATCTTCAGACATTCCCAGGGCATCTTGTGTGTGCCAGCTTTGGAGGGTATAGAGTGACTCGGCCAGGGCGTGGCCCTGGAAGATCTGACCTGTCCCCCATCCTCCTGAGCCCAGAATCTGGCCTCTGGGGTCAGGCTGACCAGGTGTCCCTGAGTGACGTCTGCAGGCCACCTTCCCTCCTTGGCCTGTAAGTAGCGGTAAGGGAGGCCCTCTCTGGCCGATGGGCAAGCTCTCCAGAATGACGTCTGCGGAGCTGTTAACCAGGGCCCGCTCGTCACAGGCAGCCCCGTGCACTCCTGCCCCTGGTGCCACTCCCTGGGCACGGAACACCTGCTGTTGCCTGTCATCCACCTGAGCTGTTGGAAGGCATTCTCCAACACCCCTCAGCATTGGACTCCTCCCAGGAACCCCCCTCAGGGTCCCATGGCTCACTGTGGCCATGCTGGCCCTTGGCATCTCCTGGAGATGGCTCCCGTGAAGTGTCATGGGAGCAGTGTCCACTCCAGCCACCCGCCTTTCCCCAGGCCCGCAGAGCCCCTGCCCGTCAGCTGTGCTCACAGAAGCCACC